CACTTCTGCTTCCTTTGCTGCTTCTGCGAGAAAGATGGGAAAGGGAATAAATGTAAACATTACAACGCCAAAGTGGAGAGAAAATGGATCATACGCAAGACATACCCGCTAGTTGATTCTTATAGGAAACTAGAAGATCAAGTGTTGCCCTGAAAACACGCTGCAGCGCTTCGTCGGGTAATTGACCCCCCGGGAGAGAAAGTAATGAAGTCAAACCCAAGCAGCAAATCTTTTTATCATGTTCCCTGGTATGAAAAATGCAACTTCTATCAGCTAATCAAAATGTAAAAAATAGAAAGTCCAACCATTACACTTATAAGCTAGCATGAACAATGTATGGCATAGTAAAAAGAATCAAGAGAACCTTTTGAAGTTTGCTGGCTGGCCACTTTTTTTCTTTTGTTGCAACATCTGGAACCAATGATCAAAGACTTTTGAAGCAAGTCCTGTGTTATGCAAAACACCAAGCGTCAAGCTTGGATTGTAGTATAGCATATTCGCCACCTGCGTATAGAAATCAGAACTTTATTTGAGGACTTGATCAAGAAAGCAAAATTTAACATGACGAAGATTTTATGGTGGATCCCTTGCCACAAAAAAAAAAAAAAAACATGTTTGGGAATTTAACCGATCATTGTTACCATCACAACGATAGTAGAGTCAATTTAATAACTCCACCTGATTCATATGGCGACACTGAAAGTACATATCACCTCTAATTAAACAAACAAAACTGGTAAGCTGGGATAAACCAGCAGCAGGACAGTAAATCCTTCCCACAGTTCTTACCACTTGTATAAGAAGGGATTTTAAGTATGAAGTCTCCGCTCGTTGCAACCGATCAACGGTGAGTCGCAGGTATGGTTCGACCCACTGATCTACCTGCCCTTTGCAATTCTGGAAAACAACTTCAATGAGCTTTGGAGCAGACTCAATGTCACTGTCTTCTATGTTTCTGTCGGTCATAAGCTGTAGAAGCAGAAAAGTGAGACATAAATTAGATATGAAGGTATCAAATGCTATAGTTACTGATGAGGCTGTGCTTGGGTAGAGGAACTTGGGAGATGCTTATATATGTGCAACATTTCCACACTACGGCAGCAAGAAATGTAATATGTAATGCCGAATGTACAATGTGTTATTCCTAGGTTTTACTAAATAAACTCGAGGCCAACAATTTTCTACCACGATAGGCATGGAAAATGATCCTTTTTATGCTTATGTGCAAGAACTCCATAACCTTGCAGTTTACAACAACCAACACGCACAAGACCACATATTTACAATATAACTGTCAGAAGATATACTCACAGTTGAAAGAACATTGAATAGACTTTGCTGATAGTCAGGCTCCTTGCAAGTGAGAAAATGAGCAGTTCCCCTTGATATGAAGTTGTCCATGGGAACCAATATATCTAAATTTTCGAAGAGTAACTTAGTGAATGTAACTAAAAAGAATGACATGGAAGTGCTAAAGTTACAGAGTAAATTATAAAGAAAGCGGATGTAAGAAAAGCCATACTTGAAAAGTAATCAATTGCCCAATCGACCAAAGCTTCCACCATTAAGGGCCAGAGACTCCATATATCCAAGGAAATGGTAGGTGAATAAAAGGTCATGTATGATGCAATCTCCAATACTTCTTCAAAAACCTCTGCCAAAGCAAATAGGATGAGAATTTAAATGCTTCAGAATCCATTTTTAGATAGTTGACAAAGGAAATAAATGATCTTGAGATCTGATGCTAGTACACAAGAAAAGATGACAAC